TGTTTGCTATTGGATGAGGTGGAAAGCACATATTCGGACCTCCTGCTCCACAACAAGGTCCGGTGGTTGTCCAGAGGCGAGGTGCTAAAACGCTTTGTCACATGTTTGGAAGAAGTAAAAACCTTCCTGGCCAGCAAAGAGCTTACCTTTGCTGAGCTGGAACAGCCAGAGTGGCTGGAAAAATTACATTTTATGGTAGACATGACAGCCCATCTAAACACGCTAAATACAACCCTTCAGGGGAAAGGAGGCACAGCCCTGCACATGCTGGAGGAGGTTTTGGCATTCGAGTGCAAGTTGACAGTGTTTGTCAAAGATTTCCAGAGAGGTACACTGTCTCACTTTCCCTCTTTGAGAGAGTTCAAACAAAGTCATGATACGATAAATTTGGAATATTTCAAGTCTGCAATCACCGCAATGCAAAGCTCGTTTGGGAAACGATTCTGTGGGTTCAGAGAGAAAAAAACACATTATCCTTCCCTGTCACTCCCCTGGCGATCGATCCATCCCTATTGAATATGACTGCATTTCCAGGTGTAAGTCAACGTGATCTTGATCTGGAACTGGCCGATATAGCCGACAAAGATATATGGGTGTCCAAGTTCAAATGCTTGACCGCTACTCTTGAGGATGTTGCCCGTCAGAAGGCCATTCTGGCTCAGAATCATAAATGGAGTGATATTGAAAACCTTCCCAAACAGGACAAACTTGTATTCAAAACATGGAATGCCATCCCCAACACTTATATAAACATGAAAAAGTATGCATTTGGAGTCCTGTCGATCTTCGGTTCCACATATGTATGTGAGCAGGTCTTCTCCAACATGAACTATATTAAAAACAAACACCGATCACGCCTCACAGATGACAGCTTGCAAGCCTGTGTGAAAATGAAGGTGACGTCTTACAGCCCTGATGTGCAGACACTGAGCACTGAGGTTCAGGAGCAAAAGTCCCATTAACCTGGTTACCTGGTTGTAAATTAAATATTTTAATTAGCTATTAATTTGTCCTTTTTTCGTGAGATTGACAGCTGACTGCGCGATCCTGTATATATAGCATTAAGGTAAGAAACAATATATGCAGTGTTATATTTGTTTTAAATGTTGCAATGTTTTTGCGGCTCCCAGTTGTTGTTGTTTTTTCGGAAACGGGTCCAAGTGGCTCTTTTTGACTTAAAGGTTGCAGACCCCTGAACTATGATATTAAGTTTTAGAGCACAGAGAGCAGCACAGGTACATCCACCACTCTGCAAAGCAAATCTGTAGAGCAAAGCACCCGCCATGTGGAACGCCCTCCCACCAGATGTCAAAGAGAAAAATAACTACCAACCTTTTAGAAGACATCTGAAGGCAGCCCTGTTTAGGGAAGCTTTTAATGTTTAATAGGTTATTGTATTTTAGTGTTCTGTTGGAAACTGCCCAGAGTGGCTGGGGAAGCCCAGCCAGATGGGCGGGGTATAAATATTATTATTATTATTGTTGTTGTTGTTGTTGTTGTTGTTGTTGTTGTTATTTATTTTATTATTAACCAAGTTCCCTTATATCTTAGTATAGGACTCCTGCAAATAAATTTCCCCTGCATACTGAGGAAATGGGTGTGTGTGGGTTGTGCTGGAGACCCCACAGGATTCTCAGATTCAAATCTGCCATAAATGGTGGTAGTTCCATGAGTTCCTGGGGAAACCCAGCCAGATGATGATGATGATGATTATTATTATTATATCTCTTCTTGGGTTCTCTCACCAAAGAGTACTTGACCCAAACTTGGAGCTTGGCATCCAGGTATTTTCCTTTTTATATCTATTTTTATTCCTGCACCAACAGGAAGTTCTCCATAGAAGGGAACTGAATTGCAATTCTCCCCCATCTCTGTTCGCAGTGCCCTCTCACTTGGCATACCTAGAGAAGTGTTTGCCAATCCATACTGAGTGAGCTAATCCATTTACCTGCCAAAGTACTCTCCAAAGTACTTGGCTTAGTTTTGTCAAGGGAGAGAGAGTTTTACCCTGGGCTATCTTCTTAATCTCCACACTAATCTCCACACTGAGCAGCAACAAGAGGACAAGGATTCCTGATCTGGCTCCATTTCCAGCTCTAGGACATCCACTGTCAGTTTGTGGCTGCTTGTCACGTTCTGGCTGAGAAGTGAAAGGACATGCAAGACAAAACCAAAGAGGAATTATATTTACCCACTTAGTGGTCTGTGGAATGAGGCAGGCAAGTAAGATTCTGCTACTGAACAGGGCTTCATCTGAAGGTACAGCTGAGATCCCAGACTTTTGCTCAGGCCAGACTTCCATTTTCAGGAAAATTAGCATGGATTTAAGACCAGTGGGCAGTGGGTCATCAAATTGTTTTGATAACTGATCTTTAAGTTGCTTTGTATTTTATGGCTTTGTTAGCTGCTTTGAGACATCCTCTTGTGGAAAATGATGAATAAATGTGAATGATAATTATGATAACAACACAGAGAGAGCAACCTTCTGGGACTTCCTTTTCAGAGGAAGAGTCATTATACTGCCACGCTGGTTGGGGGAGCTGATGGGAGCACAGCTGTGCTGGCTGGGGGCTGGGGGGTGGAGTTTAAGTCCAAAACATTTGGCGGGCACCAAGCTGGAGAAAGCTGCCGTAGTGAATGCCTGGCACAATGAAATCACACTCAGCTTCTCTCTGCCCACTGCAAATAACAGCCTGGAAGGTGGAATGAGAAAGTGCTCAGTGGGTCTGAGTTCCAGGGAGTGAAATGGATGTGTAGTTCAAGCATGGCAGCCACATTTTGCCCTGCTGGAGACTTCTCTTCTTCTTTCTGATGGAAGCCCGAGCTGCTAACTCCACAATTCCAGGAATCCACCATGTGTAGTTGGCAAGTGGTGGTTTCCTCTCAGTCAGAAGTGAGTTGCCCAACCCACCCTCCCTGTGGGGGACAGAGAGAGTGGTGGATCACTGAATACCCAGGTCTTCCCCCCTCTTTCTACCTGACCACTCTCATCCTCTGAACATACTGTAGGTCCTCTTTTTATTCTTTCTTTCTTTCTTTCTTTCTTTCTTTCTTTCTTTCTTTCTTTCTTTCTCTCTTTCTCTCTTTCTCTCTTTCTCTCTTTCTCTCTTTCTCCATCCAACTTGCAAACTGGAATTTGTTCCCTTTTACATTCTGCCATGTGTTAAGCATTGGTAATATTGTGGAAATCAGAACACAAAATAATCATTTGAAACATATGCCAGCGGCATCACTTTATTTTTCTGATATGCATGTCAGGAGAGTCACCTTGAACATCTGTGCCATTGGTGCTCTGAACATTGTACAAAGTGCAAAACATTTCTACAGTAGTTGGCACACAATGAGCATGAGAGTTACTTCCTCAAATATATTGGAAGATTACAAAAAATGTAAGAAGATTTCAAGAAGTTACTAAAATAGGTTTGTCCTTTTAAATCAGCTTACATAGCAATTGTTTTGCTTTACTGGAAGTTTGAAGTGAGAACATTTTTGCTGATATCACTAATAGAGCAGACAAGGAACGAAAGGAAGTCAAGTCAGATATAAAAGTAAGCAGAGATAAGAAAACTGTCCAGCTCAAAGGCACAGGTGAAGTCTACATTTGGGCCTTCAGCTAGATGGTTTACTTTTTGGCAATCATGACAAATCTTTCCTATAGGAACATAGGAATCTGCCTTATACAGAGTCAGATCAGGCTCTCCTGGCTGCAAATGAGGATGTCCTTCATTCAAATCTCACCTTTGCTGTGAACTCCCAAGGTAGCCTCAGGCTTGCCACCCTCTCCAGTCCTATATAAGGATGCTGCCTGCCTGCAAATCCTACATACAGGTAGGACAAAGAGAAAGAAGCATGCTACAAGTTGGAGGGTGGAAGTCTGATGTGGTGAGTACAATATGGGATTCAGCAAACAAACACATTGTTTTTTCTGTGCTGACCATTTTTCAGTAGCACCCCACACCAGGTTGCAGAGTATCGGCCTTCAAAATCTCGTCTTTCTGCCATTTGACATTTCCTGCCAGCACACTGGAGCATGTATTCAACAATGTCAACACTAACTTCATTGGGTAAGAAATTTACAGGAAGGAGCTCTGAGGATGTGAAATGCTTCAGTGACTCTGATGCATCTTGCCTGAGCAATGGCACAAACTCATGAGACAACCCCAACACTCTACAAATAAGTATGTGCTGCTGGAAAAGATGGCATTTGTGCATAGGTTCATTGCAGTTCAGAGCGGGGTGAAGAGGGAAAAGGTCATGAAGCAGAGATGGAGTGCCTCCAGATGGGTGTCTTATGACAGCTGTATGCAATGACCATCCTTTTACTCTCTCAGTGTGGCTGGGGATGGATTTGTACCTGACCCTCCGCTGCTCCATCCACCAAACCGGAGATGTGTCATTTCTGCCCCATGGGCTCCAGCCACCCGGAGGAATGCCTGTTTGCTTGCCTGGTCTTGAGACTCCAGCTGTTTGCCATGCTAAAGACTGTGCCCACCCCGTCCTTCAAAAACTTGGTGCAGGGGCCATGTCACTTGTTGGATCAACTTCTTAAGCATGTGCTTAGCCATATTTCTAATCCTTTTGCATACCTACTGTACCTTTCAACTGTTGCCTTGATTTTGTACCACTCTGATTTAAGTTTCTTTGGTGGAAACCAAGCTTTGAGTCTGAATTCTTCAGCTGACAGTGAGGGCCAAGACAAGTTTCCCCTGCAGCTATGTAGGATTTAGATCAGGGATTGAGAAACTGTGATCCTCCAGGTATTTATCGACTGATTATGTATTTATCTCACCTTTCCTGCAAGGAGCTCAAGGTCGTGCACTTACTCCCCCTCCCCATTTTCTTCTCACAACAACCCTGTGAGGTAGGCTAGGCTGAGGGGCAGTGAACAGTACAAGGTCACCCAGTGAGCTTCATGACTGAGTGGAGATTTGAACCCTGGTTCTCCCAGGTCCTTGTCCAGCACACTGACCACTACACCACTCTGGCTCTCTGTTTCTGGACTACAAGTTCCATCATCCTTGACATTGGCCATGCTGGCTGAGGCTCATGGGAGTTGGAGTCCAACAACATCTAGAGGGCAACAGATTCCCAATCCCTGATTTAGACCACATGCATATACTTGCCTTCCTTCCTCCTCCTATGAAGATTCCCTTTTGGAAGGCCACACCCACTAAATTTCCAGAATTTGGGCATCCTTTTGTTCCAAGGCTTCGCCAGTCATGTGATGCTGCAGTCACTGAGATGAACGAGATAAACGAGAGCCCGTTGAGATGTTGTCCTGCGAATGGGACCTCAAGGTGCAGTACCAGAGGCAGATGAAAAGCCCTGTGAACAAAGAGAGCAGCTTCAGTAGGCTTGGAGGGGCTGCAAATTGGAAAGCGTTAAGGGAGAGAAGCATTGGCTCCCAGCAACATGCTGAGCTCACAAACCTTGAAGTGAGTTGAGGACAGTGAACAGGAAGATCTGTGGGACTGAGAGCACCCCAAAGGAGAAGAAAACCGATGCCCAGGTGGCACCCAGGAGGCAAGTCAGCCCAAGAACCGTCACCATGTCCTTACAGGAATGCTCTTTCCGCTGCCGAGGACTGGCTCGGAGCTGCCTGAGCCTCCAAACCACCAAGGTCAAGACAGCCATATTGAAGACTATGGTGCTGCTGCAGTAAATCAGGTTGAAGTAATGCACTGTGGGAGAAGTGATCCAGCACCTGCAGGAGGAGAGAACTCAATGAGACACTTCCAGATTTTCTTTCTTCTTTTCATATGGGTGGGGGGAGAGAATACAAGAGGAGATTAGCCCCAACACATCCCACAGGCCTCACAGGAGGAGGCCACAGTGCAGAAGGTCCTGTGTTCAAACCCCAGTATCTCCAGGTAGGGGTGCAGATTTAGGGGAGTGCAACCGTTTCAGTCACAACTGAGCACAGAGCCTCAAGGGGACCATAAGGGATGCCGCAACAATGATGTAGAATGGAAGATGGGGCGAAGACTCCATATTTTCAGTAGTTAGCTGGCTCTCGTGGCTCTCCTAGTTTGAATTAGGATCTTTATTCAGCACACAAAAGGAACGAACACACACATGCTTAAGGAGAGGTATCCTCTTCTCTCTCTCTACACACAGAAACAAAACAAAACAAAACACTATTGCTTAACTTACTATTAGTATGGGTTCTCTGGCAAAATTGCCAGGCCCACATTGAAAATGGTTAGGGATTTTTCCACTCTTTAGATCAAGGTATGTGCATGGTGCTGTGGGATCTGCTGCCTGCTTAAATTGCAATTTTGCCATCACAAGCAGCACTTATATATTCTGTCACTTTCATTCGTTCTTTCTTTATTCCTTTGTTTGTAAGAACTTCTCGAGGGCATAGAGTCAAGGGCAGACACATATTCATAAAAGGATGGACGTCATAACTCCAGCAAAAGACCCCAAAGCTCTTGTAAGGGTGGGTTCAGGCACATACTGCAACAACTGCACAACTGAGGTAGGTGCTGACAGAGGCTCTAAAGTGCAGATGAGCTCCAGCCCTCCTCCTGAACCTGGAGCTTTGGAGGGGGGGCAGAGCAGCAGGGGAGGGTCACCACAGAGGCACTGCAAGTGAAACTAAGCCTAAGTGCCCATAACTGCATTTCCCCACTAGTTATGTGGCTGGGACTGATAGCAGCCTAAACATCTAGAAACCCCCAAGTAGGATAAGACTGCTATATTTACTCACATGAATTCCATCACTTTTGCTTCTCCCTTCCCTCTCCCAATCACTTCCTCTCAGATTGTAAGCTTTGTGAGGCAGAAACCTGGTGTTACTAAATAAAGAATGGGTAGGCAAACTAAGGCCCGGGGGCCAGATCTGGCCCAATCGCCTTCTAAATCCAGCCCGTGGAGGTCCGGGAATCAGCATGTTTTCACATGAGTGGAATGTGCCCTTTTATTTAAAATGCATCTCTGGGTTATTTGTGGGGCCTGCCTGGTGTTTTTACATGAGAAGAATATGTGCTTTTATTTAAAATGCATCTTTGGGTTATTTGTGAGGTAAATGAATTCATTCATATATATTTTTCAAAATATAGTCTGCCCCCCCACAAGGTCTGAGGGACAGTGGACCAGCCTCCTGCTGAAAAAGTTTGCTGACCCCTGAAATAAAGTGTCCCACTCACTGATGGCACTACATAAATCAATACCCACACGATGAAATAATTTGCTACCAAGACCATTGGTCCCCCCCCCCCGAAACTCACATTGTACTGTTGCGGTGAGCAGAGCTGGTTTTGATACCATAACGGCCATAAATTTGGCTGTTGCTCAGGAAGATGATCACCACTGCTAAGCCAGGGAACCCTGTTGGATCCAAGAATGCACAGTGGTAAAGGTACAAAGAAGATTCATCAGCACTGCGGTCCTAAGCACAACCACACATGCAAGATAAAAGGCACACTCGTTGCATGTTCTACAAAGCTCAAGCCTATCGAGATTTCCTGCTACACAGCCTATGCATGGAATAAATAATGTCATTTCAATGTCTGAAGCCACAAAAGATGCTCAAGGCCAATGTAAGTTAAACCAGCCTAAAGTTACACCAGATCCAAACTCTGCTCAGAAGCAGGCCTAATGCTGGATGGTTGAAAATAGTGTTTGGGTTACACCACCCTTTATGCTGGTTTAACTTACATGGGGTTGCTATGTCATGTGGCCAAGATGAATGGGCTTAGGATCCAGCCTAAGTCTCCCACCCCTCTGGCCACGCCCCTGCTATACCCACAGAACATTTGTGCCGGCTCAATCAATCAAAACTTTATTATGGTCATAGACTAGCATAAGTAGGGTGGGGTATAGTCATTTAGAATCTGTCATATTTTTTGGAAGGCTAAAATGTATTAAAACAGAAGGTATATTTAAAAGATGATAAGAATCTCTAAAAGAAGGGTTAGGAGCATTAAACAGATGTGGAAGAACATGAAAGGCTAGTACATAAAAGACTACGGCTATCAATTTAGAGAGCACTCTGATGTGAGTGTTCACGAAATCTAGTTTGTGGCTCAGGTCATCATCCGACGAATTTTGAACACTGCTATGCAGAATCTGGCAACATTGTATGTTGTAGCAGGGTTGGTAATTGTGCCGGCTTAAAATCTGCTAGGCTCATTTCAGCCAGCTGGGTGCCAGCTAAGTCAGGATGGAGGAGTTATATGCCAGAGTAGGAGTTAACTCAGCCAACCTGATCCACACTTTCCAGACTAATACACAGTTATCCCTCAGTTTTCACACTTCTCTGAATTTTATGAGGCAGTTCTTGGCTCAAACAATACACCAAAATCCATATTTGAGGTTAAAATGTGTTTTTTTCTCTCTATTTTTAAGTGTGTTTTAGGACAAAAGGCATTCAAAAAGTGTATTCTAGGCTAAAATGCTGAATCTTCCTTGTAGGTGTGGCATAGATTTCCGTCCTCAAGCTGCCACCTTAAACAAGAAACGGGCTGCCCAGTGCAGGCCTAGACGCTTCAGTCGAATGCAAAGCAGAAGGTCATGCCCAGATTTTACCTTCAGGGAAGCACAGGGCAGAAATTCATAGGTTCTCATGTTTCTGCAAACCTACCTAATTCACACTTCCTGAAGCAACGCACAAGCTGAAACACAGCAAGACTTCGAAATTTGCACTTCTTTGAATTTTGTGATCCAGTCTGCCAACCAAAATAGGCAAATACAAGTGTGTATATCAGGCTTCCTCAACCTCAGCCCTCCAGATGTTTTTGTCCTACAACTCCCATGATCCCTAGCTAGCAGGACCAGTAGTCAGGGATGATGGGAATTGTAGTCTCAAAACATCTGGAGGGTTGAGGTTGAGGAAGCCTGGTGTATATTATGGGGGAAGTCTGCACACATTGGTGCTTTAATGTTTCGTTTGCTGTTGTAAGCATACCAGAGATGGTTATTAAAAAGATCTAACGGGGGGGGAATCATATTGATCCTCACCCCAGCCAACTGAACACAGTTTAAGGAGGTAGCGCATGATGTATGAGTTGTAGACTCGGATCACGAGCAGGTAGAGGTGGAAGCCTTCGATGGCCATCCAGGTCAGGCAGCAGAGCAGAGAGTAATGGAGGAAAGCGGCTGTGGCTGTGCACGGCCACGAAAGGCTGGCTGATGCTGGGAAGCTGCTGCCCAGGAAGGACACGTTGAGAAGGAAGAGGGCTCCCAGAAGGTTCATGTGGATCTTTGTTGTGGAATCATGCTGGATTTTCCTGCAAAAGGTGTTAAAATGGAATATAAACGGGAGAGTTTTGCTGACTCAGTAAAAGACAGGGCAGACACTGTGCTGGTATACTCTTTCTAGTACTTAATGGGATCTCAAGGCTGTGGAAGTGGCTTTAGGCATCCTTTACAGCAGAATGCAATGTGTATCTCCTGAGAAGCATATCCCATTGAGTTCAACGAGACCTACTCTCGGGTATGTGTGCATATGATTGCAGTCTTGAAATCGTAAGGATTTGGGTTTTTTGGAAAAGGTCAAGTTACTAGATCTCATGGGGGTCTGCAGACCAGGTCTTGGTCAAGATCTCCTTCCTTTGGGAGGAAGGGTGGGATATAAATGTAATAAACAAAAATTTAAAAAAGAGAGTGTTTGCATATATATATGAGGGGAACCATCTACACAAATCTAGAGTGGAGTCCCTAAGACAGTTGGTTGGCGCCTTGTATGTCTCCTTCCAGCAACTCCTGCAACCAAGCTGGTGCCAAATGTATTGCTCTGCTCTCCTTTGGACTGCATCAGCAAAGCCAACAGGGGCGTCTTGTCATCTGGGCAGCCCAGGACCTCCATACACATTGCCTAGGCTTGTGCCCCAGGGAGGTCACTTCAGTGCTGCTAACTCAGTAGTTTGACTTCACCCCCAGAGGCTCACTCCACTGACTCTGGAGACAGACCGATGCCAACCACAAATTATGTGTAAAAGTGTTATGCAAATGCTTTCAATGGAGCAACAGCTACACCTAGTGGCAAGCAGAGGCTGGGAGAATATTTTCAAAGAGGAATGTTTTTATCAATCACGTATCCATAAATTTGTTAACAGAATCATTTTATGAAGCGATGCTGGAGTTTTCAAAACAGCTATGAAATCCCACACTACCAAAACTGGCATAGAAGAAGCCCAAACAACTATACAGTGGTACCTCGGGTTACATATGCTTCAGGTTACATACGCTTCAGGTTACAGACTCCGCTAACCCAGAAATAGTACCTCAGGTTAAGAACTTTGCTTCAGGGTGTGGCACAGCAGCAGCAGGAGGCCCCATTAGCTAAAGTGGTGCTTCAGGTTAAGAACAGTTTCAGGTTAAGAACGGACCTCCAGAACGAATTAAGTACTTAACCCGAGGTACCACTGTAATTTTATTCTTCATAGTCTGGGGCTGGAAGCAGGCAATAGTTTTTCAGAGGTTTGAAGGAGCAACCATTACTCATGGTGCTCACAGTCATCCCCTCTTGTGTCAGGTCAGACAGGTGCTGCAGGCATTTGCAATGCTTCAAAAACCTGCACTACATATTTGACAGAAGCGTTTATACCACAGGAACCAAAATGCATTCCTAAACCACTATCAGATCTTATTTTTAAAAAAATTGCCTGCCTTTAATCCAGGAAGCAACTTTCTTAGGTATTGACTGAAGGAGCACTGTACTTACCGGGATAAAATGTAGAAAATGATAGTGAGCAGGCATGCAAAAGCAGAGATACTGCAGCCTATGTTGGTGATATAGGTCAGAGGAGCCAGCAGAGATTCATCCAGAGTGGTTGGGGAGATTTGCTAAACGAGCAGCGAAGGAAGAGGATGCAAAGACAAAAACAGAAGGGATTCAGATGAAACGGATATGTATTCCCCCCAACAAGCTAGTTTTCTAGGTGCAAGAGACATTTTTTCATGGAGGAAAGTTCAGTCCTAGGAGCCTGTCTCTGCTCCCCCACCAACCCCACATCAGATGCCTGAAGTGTTGCAGCCCAGAGAGAAGACCTGGGCCACAAGAGAGCCCCGCACTTACCACAAGGACAGCAAAGTAGGTGAGGTGGTTGCACTGGCACAGAACCATGCCCTCCCAGCTGATGTTAGTTGTGCAGCCTTCCTGGCTCCAGCTCCCCATGCTGCCCTCTTCTGCCAAAGGGGAGAAACCCAACCACACTCAGAAAGCAGCAGGAACAAGGGCCAAACTAGACAAGGGGCCACTGACACAACAAGCAATTGCATGCATGCTTTTTTTAAAAGCAGGCAGCAGGCAGTGAAGGAGGGGCACATGTGTGTAGGATCCATAGAAGGTCCCTAGCAGAAAGGAGAGGAGGGCTTTGTCCCCTACTGTGGTGCTAATTCAGAGGTCAGGCACCCCATGCCTGCTATTTGCATTGGGGAAAGAGGGTGTTTCCATTGGCACAAATGAGAGGTTTCCTTTCAAAACAATGGGGGGGGGGGTAATCCAAATCAGGGTCAGTGCAAGGGGCAAAGGATTAAAGTGCCCCACCTTCATCTCCCCATCTTGTTGCTGTTGCTGTTGTTGTTTTGGGGAAGAAACCATTCACACATTGGCTAATTGTGTGAATGGAGTCTCCTCTAATTTGGTCCTAAGGTGGCGCTATGGGTTAAAGCCTCAGTGCCTAGGACTTGCCGATCGAAAGGTCGGCGGTTCGAATCCCTGCGGCGGGGTGCGCTCCCGCTTCTCGGTCCCAGCGCCTGCCAACCTAGCAGTTCGAAAGCACCCCCGGGTGCAAGTAGATAAATAGGGACCGCTTACTAGCGGGAAGGTAAACGGCGTTTCCGTGTGCTGCGCTGGCTCACCAGATGCAGCTTTGCCACGCTGGCCACGTGACCCGGAAGTGTCTCCGGACAGCACTGGCCCCCGGCCTCTTAAGTGAGATGAGCGCACAACCCTAGAGTCGGACACGACTGGCCTGTATGGGCAGGGGTACCTTTACCTTTACCTAAGGCTGATGCCTTCAAACCTGTGAACTGTTCCATTCAGGATTATCACAGCCACAGTATCACAGCTTTTTTAAAAAAAAACAACTTGCATTTGTTCCTTTCCCTTGCTTATATGCTGCTTTTGTTAGTTTGTAAACCACTGGCGTGGAAATAGGAAGGGAAGAAGATAGATAAGAGGCAAATTCTGGCCTTACCTGTTCCTTCCAGCCAAAAAACACAGGCCACACTGGCATTGGCCTAGAATGGAACAGAGACAAGTTGATGAAAATGCTTTCCTACCTCTAGGGCAGAATTCCTTCAGTGCAACTGAAGAGGGCTTGTCAGGCAGGTGGTGATGCCCAGCAACACAATCCCTGCCCTTCTCAGTCAGACAGTGCTGCTGATGATGATGATGATTGCCCCCTCTTCACAGCTAAAATATAGGGATACGCAACCATGGCCTGTGCTTTGCACAGCAACCTACTTAAGCTTCCTCCTGTGTTCCCCATGTCCTACATTGGAATGTAAAAAGGGAGAAACCAGAAGCATGTGCCTTCCTCTGCAGAAGGGCTTCCTCTGCAAAACTGCCCCTCCTCAAAAATTATTAAGGACTAGAGGATTTATAGAAATACGAAACTATTTGGTGAAGCGCAACCGGAGATCACGGCTTGATCATCCAGGTAAAGAACACTGGAACATAAGGTGCCTATATGAAGTCCACAAGCAGCACCTGAGCACAAGAGCAGTTTCCAGCCTCTGGAATCCAGAAGCATTGCTGCCTCCAACTGTGGGTGCAGAATATAGCATCTTCCTGAATTAGCCGTCTTGTACGGTAGAACAATGTAGCTTTGGGGGTCAGGCATGTTATGCTGTGCACAGGGCTTTGCAGCCCCCCCCCAGTTGTTGGTGCCTTCAAATCCCCCTTTTAGGCCAGCCACATCTTTAGCTGCCCCACATTTGATGTCAGGTACAGGGTAAGTGGACATGGCAGGGTCAAAACAGCCTCACAGGCCAAGTGGGGAAGCCTGGCTGAAGGTTCCCCTCTGCTTTGCTGCAGTGTTGGAGCTGCAGCCTCACTGCCCTCCCAACTGCTTTTTGCAGAAAAGCTTTGCTTTATTCTCTCAGGAGCTGGTAAGAGGAAGGCAGGGGCAGCTAATGGGGTGTCTCCCATGCACTGTTGGCCTGCAGTTCTCATCATACCTGCCAATTGGCTATTGGGACTGATGGGAGGCGGAGTCTGACAAATCTGATTCCTGCATTGCAGGGAGTTGTTGCTGTTGATTTATTTATAACCCACCTTTCCCCCTGACAGGGATTCAAGGCAGCTCACAGATAAATAAGAATAGCAAAATAATAATAATAATAATACCCCACCCTTTTTATCATTAAAAAACAAATAAGCATTAATAGAATTAAAAACACCATATGGGTTCTATTAAAAACATACACATACAATAAACACAGCACAGCGCCAGCTGGACTGTGATTCCAAAACCTGGAGGGCACCACACTGACTAGTCCGGCACAGAATAAACGCTTACTGGGTGACAGCTGTGGCCACAGCACAACTCACCAGCGTATGGTTGTGCCAAAACCTGATCTCCACCGGTTGAATGAGTTGAGTAATGCTGATATTCCCAAAGGTGGCCCCTAAGATGTCATCATTCAGCAAGGTGTGGTTCTTTCTGTCCTATAAGATATACAGTGAAAAAGACTTGGCATGGGATCACTGGGGAGGGAGTCTTTAAACACCCCTCCTCACAATTCCTCCCCTGTTCAGTCAGTAGAGTTGATCAGCAGCAGAGCATTCCACTCCATTGGGAGCAGCTGCTTTAAGGCACTCCAGGCACCTCAGGGTGGTTGCTGCCAACAGACCTGGCTTTCCCCACCCCTGTCCTTTACAGATGGAAAAGATGAAAAGGGAGGGAAGCCGCTGGGAATCTGTGGCAGGGAGACAACAAAGGAAGTGTGAGGAAACGGATGCAGTGGTGAACAGGGGGACTCATTTGTGATGACTGCCATGATATTCAAGTAAACCTAGGCGTTGTACATACACTCATGAGGCCACCCATTCTGCCTTCTTCCAGGTCCAAAGGGACCCATGTGTTGGTGATTGGGTGTGAATTGGAGGTGCATAAAATAGTCACTGTCTGTAAACCTTTAAAGCACATTCTTTTCCCTCAGAGAATTCTGGGCACTGCAGTTTGCTAGAGCTGCTGAGAATTGTAACTGCGAAGGGTTAACTACAGTGCCCAGAATGCTCTGAGAGAAAAGAATGTGCTTTGAATATGCTGTGAAGGTACAATGTATACACCACCTTAGTCACAGCAAGGCATGGCGACAGTAGTTGCACCCAAGTTTCTGTGGGAAGGGGGCTTTTGAGAAGAGATGTAAAGGATTAAAAAGAGAGAGAGAGTTGACATTGTGTAAGAGCCAGCAAGGGAGAATGGGTGGAGTCAAGAGGGAAGCCCTCCCCAACACACTCGGGACCACAGCTGTGTTGACGGGTGGAGATGGGATTTGTAGGGCGCCAGAGAATGCAGTGACAGAGCAGGTGATCTTCAGATGCCGAGGGTAGACAAGGAGAGGTCAGAGGCAAGGATATGTAAGATAAGAGAGTCATTAAAATGAGCCAGAAAGAGTCACATGGATTGGCTTACCTTTCCTCCACTGTCTGAGCTGAAAAGTTCCATGTCTCAGCAGAGTTTTATTGCCCCAGAGTTTTCCCCATGAAAATCCACTCTTTAAAGCTCAATCAGCTCTGACGAGCTTTAAAGAGCGGGTTTTTGAGGGGAAAGCTGGGGGCGAAACAAAAAACAAGAAAACCCCCCTCAGACACAGAGTTTTTAAGCATGAACCTGTGCCTGGAAAGAGCAGGGCAAACGATAAGTGTGGATGTCCGCAGTGTAGCACAAATTAGGCTGGCTTTCCCATGACCCTTTTCGGAGTGTAGGTCGCCACTCTCTGGGCCCAGTCTCCACCTCCGTCACCCCATTAACCAAACCTCAAGTTCCAGGGAGTGCCTACCTGGAAGAAGCAAGATGTTTTCAGGTAAATGCAGGTGAGCCGCATCTCCTTTGCAGCTGTGCCCTGGGCTCTCTTCGCTAGCTCAGCAGGGAAATGCATGGCATGTCGGGTTTGGTTCTTCACTGAGGTATTGCGCTGCTCAGAGCAAAACAGACATGTACACATTGGAAGGTGTTATTTTTCATTCAAAAGCATTTATATGCCACCCTCCATTTAAAAAAATAAATAATGTCAAAACAGTTTGCAATAAATAGTAAGAACAATGAAAACAGAAATTTGTAACTACAGGAACTGGGGCTTGTTAGAACTAGCATGGAAGACCAAGGAATGCCTGGGCAAATAAGCGCCCAATAACTGGTAGAAACCCATCACAACTGATAGAATCATAAAACTGCAGAGTTGGAAGGCGCCCTGAGGGTCATCTAGGGTCATCTAACCCCCTGTAATGCAGGAATCACAGATAAATAATTCCTGACATGTGGCCATCCAACCTCTGTTTAAAAACTTCCAATGAAGGAGAGTGCACTACCTCCTGAGGTATATCTATGGATAAAATAAATTTTAAAAAGCAGCCAACTGTTTTTCTCGTTGCATGTTGCTGTGAGGATCATGTAATGAGGCCCCTTTCCACTAATTAATTAATTGCAAACTGAGGCTATTTGTCCACATTCTTGAACCTGATCTGCAGGACACAAATACCCAGGACTGCATTCTGGAGGCCAGGTTAATGAAAAAGTGACAGAGCAGTCATGCTGGAGGGTCATCATCTAATGAGCAAGGAACGTACGTGAAGGGAAGCTCTGAAATAATCGCAACACATCACCAGGGTCTCATTTCACTTCCAAAAGGAGCATTTGAAGAAAAGCCCAGAGCAAATCACTTGCTCAAATATTCTTAAAATCAATCTGTTTGGAGGCTGTCAAAGCCAGACAATGTTCTCTGCGGTTGGGAATGGCATCCAGCTGAAAGCAAACAGGGCCAACTTTGTCCTTTCACTGAAGTTCTTCTCTGCATGGTTTTGTGAACATATTCGCATTCCTGGCATACCAAGAGCCATGCAGAAAGGAAGCCAGCCAGGACAATGGAAAATAATGTAGGCGAATATTAATAGAGCAGAATCATAGAAATGTAGAGTTTGAAGGAAGGAAGGAAGGAAGGAAGGAAGGAGCAGTGGTGTAGCAAGGGGGGCACAGGAGTGGTTGCTCCAGGCACAAAATTGTTAAGGGGTGCAAAATTTCAACCCCCGGGAGCTGCCTCAATACAGCTGTGCGCTTCCATCACTAGGCTCTGTTGAAAACGACTTCTCCATGCAAACCAGGAAGTGACCTTTCCAGACAACGGAATGTCTCTTCTTTTCTTATCTATATGGCTGTGATCTCTTGGGTCATGCGGACACCGATAGGCAGTTGAATGCACATGTGTACTATGTCCATTTCCCTCCAAGGAAGGAGAGTCCACCACCTTCCAATGCATTTTTTTAAAAATTGCATTTACATCCCACATTTTTCTCCCACCCACTGTCCCCACCTCTGCACAGCCTTGGGGGCTGGCAACCCATGCTACACCACTGGGAGTGAGTAGAGGAGGAGGCCACTGCTGCCCATGAGCGTGCTGCCAGAGTCAAGGAGCGGGAAGTGGTACGCACTGAGCAGCAGTGTTGAGCACCCAGCAGTGGCAAGTGTTGGGTGCCAGGTGGTAGCAAGGAGCAGGAGGTGGGGGACTCTGCAGGGGCTTTTGCCTCTAGCAGCAAAATGTCCTGGGCTAGTCCTGACCCCTTTCCTTAAAATCAGCCATTTGAACACAAATATAGGTGGTTCCAGCAATGGGAGCCCATCCACAGCTGCTCAGAGACATTGTAGACATATATGTACCAAGATTGCAATTGCCACTTCCGTCTTCCTTCTCCGCCTGGGGGATGGGCAGGGAGGGAAAGACAGGGGCAACCTAACCAAGGGGAGGATTTTCAAGCACGTATCACATAACCACACCTAGCACTGTGGGCAGCAGGATTGCACACTGAGGTTGAGCATGCTTGAGTCTGGATTGAGGAAAAACTGTGTCATTGCGCTACAGGTGGGTTAGTGTGTTCACAGCCCCAGTCAAAACTTGGTGCATTTTCAAAGCATGTCTACCACTCTGTGTGTCTCTGCTGGGTATTCATTCTAGATAGCAAGAATCAGCAGCAGGGTGTGAAGATAGGGGGAAAATACTAACCATTAAGCTGTCGCTGCTGACATTCAGTCCTCTGAAATCGCTAAGATTTATCCTGAATATTAATGTTTGAATATTGTCATGCACAACAGTGAGATTCTCTGTCAGGAGACTGGTTTGCAGCAGGGTCTTCTCCAAATTTTCTTTGGCTCTGAAAGTGGAGAATTGTTGAGAGAAAGTGTGTAAATGCTTAAGGGTTGCACTTGGAAACACAGAGCTGCCAAGGGCCTCAATGCCACAGATTGTGAGGTTTATTTACATACTTATCTCATTACATTCCTCTTACACCTTTCCTCAAAAGAGCTTAAGGTGCTGGTCATGTTTTCCCTCCTCCTCAGAGTCGTTTAACCCCCAACCCCATTTCTTCTCAGGGCACTTTGGAAATTGTAGCTGTCTGAGAGGAATAGAGATGGTCTAACATTCTCAGCATTCTTAACAAACTACAATACCCAGGATTCTCTGGGGGAAGTCATGACTGTGGTACAATACTGCTTTTAATGTATCATGCAGATGGGGTCTGGGTTGTGTCTGGGTGGAGTTAGGACTTTCCCAATGCATTAGCTGAGGGAAAGAAACATTGGTATCTGAGATCGGAACTTACCTCATCAGCTCCTTCCTTTCAGAGACACATCCTTCTTTCAGGTGCCTCTCAAATATTCTCATGGCTTTCTCCACATCACTCTTCGCGCCAAGATCCAAGGGTAGCCTGGTTGCTTTCCCGCTGGGTGCTGCCCCTTAGCAACAGCGAGGGAAAGACAGGCCATCAGTATAGAGGAAACAGCACATACTCCCACCATGAACGAATCCAAGAGTGCCCACATCACCTCCAGCAACAACACAGACCAGTGAGTCCCACACCATGCACAGGGAGAAGGGACACATAAATGTGGACCTTGGAAAATTAGGATTCCATCAGGACATAAGAAGAACCTGCTGGATCAGGCCAGTGTCACACCTAGTCCAGCATCCTGTTCTCACAGTGGCCAACCAGATGCCCTTGGAAAACCTGCAAGCAGGATTTGAGCACAAGAGCCCTCTCTCCTCCTGTGGTTTCCAGCAACTGCTATTCAGAGGCAGAGCATGGCCATCATGGCTAGTAGCCATTGATAGGCTTCTCCATTAATTTGTCTCATCCTCTTTTAAAGCCAGCCAAATTTGTGGCCATCCCTGCATGCTCTGGGAGTGAGTTTAACTGTGCACTATGTGAAGGACTTCCTTTTCTGTGTCCTGACTCTTTCAACAATCAGCTTCATTGGATGTCCACAGGTTGAAGCATGATGAGAGAGGGAGGAAAAACTTCCCATTCTCCCCTTTCTCTATGCATCATCTTATACACACCTATCATGTTGCCTCTTACTCTCCTTTTCTCTGAACTTAAAAGTCCCCAAAGCTCTCACCTTTCCTCATGGGAGAACCATGAGGAAAATACAGAAGGATGTTAATTTGATGGCTATGCCATATGGAAAAAATGAAGTGTGGCACCCCTGGGTCTCCCTGACACACAATTCCCTCTTAGGAAATCAGGATTGCCCACCTCCTAGCCCCTAATAAGACATCTTTCCTACCTGGTATCTGGTCCATAAAAGCTGCACATGCAAAGAGAAAAAGGCAAAATCTTGTGCCCATCTCTGTATTGCCGGAAATGTAGCGCAGGTCCCCAAACACCACAAATGGCTGGGAGCTGTTTACAATGTGAAGAGGAAACTGAAATGAGGTAGAGTAAGGTTACGGGCACATTTGTGTATTTGGAAGGTGCAAGACAAGAAGAAGAAGAAACCCCCTTTCCAGACAAATCTGGGCTGCATTTAAAACAGGATAAAATATGACAAATAGCATTAAATATATGGCGAAAAAAATTAAAAACTGGGTCTGCAAATGCATGTTTGGGCTACCAGTGGGCCCCGCATCGGAAAAGTTTAAAGGCTGCTCCTGTAGTTAAAAAGCGGCCTTCAACAATTACACTTGCCATGGCGGGGATGGCACCGTCACCTAGTGAGAAGGGAAAGTGGCCAACCTGCCTCCTGACTCTGAAGCCACAGAGGAGAGCAGGATCATTCAAGCAGCTGCTTGGCAAATCCCTTCCCCGCCTCCAGCTCTGAAGCTGGAAGGAAGGATGGGGGCTGTTTGGCAACTGCATGGCAAATATGGAAAGCCCTAGCCACGCATGGCTAAACTGGCAACCCTCCTCTCTACTGGTCTTGCCTCTTCAGAGTGCTGGATACTTCCTGCCTGAGAGCATCCTGTGCACCTTAGGGGAATGGTGCCCAACATCGCCCACTCCTAGCCTCTCAGGCCTTCCCCTCAGGAAAAGCTGGGTGACTTGGCAACCTGGATGTTGGTGACTTTATTTTTTGGCTTGGCCAACATGGCCAGCCATGTAGACCCTGGGTGAAAAGGATCTTGGAAGAGTCACTGTCCGTCAAATTAAACCATTCAGAGGAAACCCAAATTGCAAGGGACCTGAAAAAAGGCATTTGAAGCCGGTTTGGGCAGGATAAAGAAAACGAAAGAAGAAAGCTTATAAATGTGTGAAAACCAAATTGGGGCCTTCGGATAGAGCAGCCTATAAGCCTAATAATTAAACAACCAAGCACATATTGTGCCTGGGCATTCAGTTGTGCTAAGGGGGTGGGAGGTAAGCAATCTACGCAATGGAATTTTTGTGTCCCTGTGTGGGCAGTGGTGTGCCTATGTTCTAGCATCAAGGTCCCACAAACATGACATGAGGAAGGCAACATTAGCATGGTGCAGGGACTCGGGCTCAAAAGGGACATTGTGGCATTTGATAAGTTCCAGAACTTGCTTTTATCCACAGTAGATCAAATTGTGACACACATTCTCAGCTCAGAACTGCAAATCTAAGCAAATAAGAGATGCAATCTAGTAAAAAAAACCACACTTTTTTTGTTAACTGATACAGATTTTGTCATATGCTTAACCTCAACCGTGACGTTGTACGAAAGCGAGCTTTCCTCATTAATTACTGCATTTCACAGAAAAAAGACTTGAAATGCATTTGTTAAAAAAAAGAAAAGAATTATGACTCACTTTTTCCTTTATTTCTTTTTGTGTGTGTGTGCCTTATTTCGCCTTAATGCACCTTCAATTTTCTGTGGCTGCATTTATTATGGCTAGGGGCCTCAAAAGCCAGAAGTGGTCCAGACCTCCAAAAACCTGGGATGCAAAGAAAGTAGAATTGTGGAGGCCTATGTGGAAAGGTTGGAGGAGTTGGTTATGCTTAGCCTGGTGAAGAGGCAATTAAGAGGCAAAATGAGAGCCATCTTCACACATCTGAAGGGTTCTTGCCAACAGGATGAAGCAAATTTGTTGCTCCAAAGAATAATAAGACCAGAACCAACTAGAAAAGAAGAGATTGAGAGGTGATATGATTGCCATTTTCAACTATCTGAAGGGATGTCACATGGAAGATGGAGCAAACTTCTTTTCTCCAGAGGGGAGGGTCTGAACCATGGATTCAAATGACAAGAAAGGAGATTCTGACTAAACACCAGGAAGAGTTTTCTGATAGTAAGAGCCATTCACCAGTGGAATGGATTACCCCAGAAGGTGGTAGGCTCTCTTTCATTGGAGGTTTCTAAGTAGAGATTGGATGGCCATCTGTCAGGGATGCTTAAGATGGATTGCTGCATCACAGGGGTTAGACTAGATGACCCTGAGGATCCATCCCAACTCTACAATTCTATGATTCTATGGAACAAATTACAAGAAAGAGTATTTGGGCTAAACATTAGGAAGAATTTCCTGGTGGTATAAGATGTTCAAGAGTGGGAAATACTGCCTCCAGATGTTAGGGATTTTTAAAGGAGAAGCTGGATAGCCACCTATAACATTTGGAATCCCTTTCAACTCTGTGAATCAAAGATGCATGCGCACACACTCAACCTCAGGAGGTTAACTCCAGACCAGGAACAAGGCTGAAACCTGAAATATTCTGGTATATGCCGGGACACTCAAACACAACTTCTAAAAGAGAACCTGGACATATTCCCCCAAAGCAAAAAATAGGAAAATGGATTTACTAGGGACCAGTATCAGTACAGTAGGGGTCGCCAACTATTTTGGACCAGGGGGCACTTCTTAAATTTTGAGAGAGTTGGGGGGCGGCACACCAGTCACAAAATGACTGCCATGGGAGGATGACATAATGCAAAATCAGAGAGAATACAGTCATGGTGAAGTTTTTCCCATGATTGTATTTTCACACGATAATTCTGCATAGAAAATAAGACAGAAGCAGGAAAAGTGCATTAAAGGGGATGGCGAAACAGCAGAACCAAACAACTAATTTATCAATCACAGCTCTGACTTCACTTGTTTGCTACAAACAGAGGTGGGAGTAGGCAGGCCTGTTCATTTCACAGAAATGACTTAAAGGGTACCTGCACATTTTGTTTCATAACTTTCTTTCTAAGGGGGCAGGAGACTTGCTTAAAAAAGAAAGAAAGTGCAGTGCCTGGGGTGTAGAAAGACACCTGGAGAATATGATGGCCTGATTGGGCCATGATAAAGCACTTACGTCCAACAGAGTCCTCAAGGAGAGTTAGGTCCCACCACGATGATTTTAATTTGTTTCTTTTGCGTGGCGTTCTTCTCCCATGTCAGCCTCACTGTAAGGTGCATTAGCATGTCATTAAAAAAAAAAAAACATTTCCTGGCCTATACAGATGGCTTCCTGAAGCAGGAAAAGGAAATTCTACATCAAACACTTGATCAAAATACACATCACTGTGCAAAAAGACTCAAATCTATCAGAGCTGAAAATGGGTGCGGAGGGCAAATGTTGACAACTCACCCGCACTCTGTGGAGTGTGCTGCTGCTTTCAGATGTTCAGACCACTGGAAAATGCATGTGGCTTGTTTCCTCTGCTAGCTTGTAAGCAAGTGAAGGCGGAGGCCTCGGATGCGATTTAGCAGCAGCAAATTTTGGACAAGCCACTCCCCTCGGGCCATAACTTCACCAGCTCCAGGACCTTGCAGAGAGATGTGATCTGAGGTCCATTCCCAGAATGCAAACCACAGACAAGCAAAGGCTGCGAAAGGGGGAAGGAAGGGGATGGAGATGACCGAGATATCTGTGAAAGGACTGCAGAGCTAAGGAGAAGTTCAGTTGAGGAAGTTGAGGAAATGCAGCAAACAGGCAGAGCAAAGAACGTATCTGAAAGCAGCACCTGCACAGGGAGATCTTTGTCAAACAGAAAATAAAAGCTTTTTCTCTCTCCCTGATCTGTAATGGCTATATCACCTCTCAAGAGGAATGTAATGGGATTTTTCTGATATTAGGGAACAGATTAACTGGTTTTAATATTGCATGTGTACATTGTTGCTTAACTAGAGATGAGGGTGGGGAGAATCTGCCAAACTCAGATTTGCCTGATTCAGTCTGGGCACAACATGACTCTGAATTGGATCCAGAGCCCACCTCTTAGAGGTGCCCGCAGCCTAAAGCAGCTAGGAATTACACTTGGAATTACAATGGAGCAAGTCCCCTTGGGAATGACAGGAGCTGATTATGTTCTGTCACTCTCATCAAGAATTGTTTGAGGAGGAAACATGGGAAAAGGTAAAAAGCATTGATGGTATTTCCAGGGGGCTGGCTAAGCTATTTTTGCAGCTTTTGAAAAAGCAACTGTGCTTTAGAGTGCAACGAGTGCATAGAGTGCAATGACACTCTATGGTTTACAGTTTCTGATTCTTTGTTTTTCTTTCTTTTTGTTATGTTTGCGTTTTTCTTTTTAAACAATCAATAAAATATGTAATATATATATTAAAAGGCAATTCTAAATAAACCAAATATCATAAATACACCACAGGTTTCACTGTCCCTAATTCTGAGGAAACTAAACCTTGGGTAAGCGCCTGGGACCCCTGGAATTTCACACAGCTCAGAGATTGGGGCGATGTGCAACAAAACTAGTCATATATCAGATCCCCTCTTAAAATCTCATTTCTGAGGTCTGGCAAGAATGATCTCCCCATTTTACTTTGCTAGCCAACATTCCATGGCTACTGAGCATTCTTGGGCTTCTCTGGGCAACTTTTTGGAGGTGTGGAAAAAGTGTTGCTTCCTAGGTTTTTAATTTTTTGTATTTCTGCCAAACCCAGGATCCCCCAAAGCATGTTGACAGCTCCCTCTTGTTTCTCAGTGGCCCGATTTTGGCTACAATCCCTGTCAGTACTCACTACCCAAATTTGCTATTGGAAGAGATGGTGCTACTAGGTCCCAGAGGAAGAGACCACTGCCTTGCTGAACTTAAGTGTGTTTAGCTCTGCTCAGTGCCTGGATGGGATGCTAGGTTCCATGAAGTAACAAAACTTGGATATAAATGTAAGAAAAAGCTTTGCATAGAGGTATGAAGTCAATAGAAGCCCAATCAATGTTACTGAATGTGTGGAGAGCACACTTCTTCCTACATGTGCAGGATCCCTCTCTCATTTCCAGGAAGGCAAGATTATGAGCCAGCAAAGCACTCCATAGAGATCCGGCATTCAGTATTACAGATCCAGGTGTGACACATGAGAAATCCAAATTGAATGACTGAGGAGATGGAGGATTATAAGTCAGGGGTGGGGAGCCTCTGGACCCAGGACTCCCTATATGGTCCATAGGGCCGTTCTGGCCATGCCACACACAACCCCCCCCCAAATCAGCTGATTGTTGGATCTTCAAAAACTCTGTTCAAAGTGCAGGTCAAAGTGCTTTGAACAGGGCTTCTGAAGACCCCTAAGCCAAAACAAATGTCTCCATGGTTATTATGATACCAGGTGATTGTTGACAGGTAATTAATTCTGCCCATACATCACACGTGGCCTGTGAGGGGGCAGTGAGATGACCATAAGTTGTTTTTTAGAATTGTTATGAATGTTTTAAAGTGTTTTAAAGGTATTTTAGGTAGTTCAGATCCACATTGTGGATCTGTAGGGTTAAAACAACGAAGGGTTGGCTTATTTATTTATTTCCTTAGTTTTCATAAATGATATATTGGAGAACCTGCCTGGGAACGGAGATGACACAGAAGAGTAGGGGGCCGAGGAAAGAGAAAATGGCCTATTGTGGCTCTTTTTTGGTTCTTTTGAAAACCACTATCATCTGAGAAACCCAAGTCACACGTTGTGAAATATTGCCTGCATCCAGGGAAGCAAAGGATGCCTCCTCCATTGTGCAAAGAGTTACTGCACGTCCAATAAACACGGCTTGGAGGCAGAGGCATAAAGGAACATCTGCCAGCAGCTGGAGAGCTCCTCCCAACTCGGCCCACAGACATATCTTCACTTCTCTTGAAAAGAATAGCAGGAATATCACACAAGGCAACCAGGAGGTATTGTTCACTTCTGAATTTTGAGTTGTTGCACTGACCTCAGCTCCTGCTGCCCTGCCAGGCCATGGGAGAGAGCAGGGCTTGGAGGCAGAACAAGATGGTCCCAGATTTAATCACTGGAAGCATCTCCCATAAGGAGGAGGAGTTGGCAGGCAGGTGATGGAAAAGACCTGACCCTGGGGGGTTGCTGCTGCTGATCGCAGAAGACAGTACATGAAGAATACTAGCCACCCTCTTCTGCATCCCCTGATCAGCCAAGCCTGCCATACCTTGCCACCACAAAACACCATTTCTGCGGAAGAAGAAAAAGTGAGGAAATGAGGCATTCCTGCAGACACATGCCTGGCACTTGGTGCAGAGGCCAAACCTGCTCTCGGGTTGTTCCAGATCATTGGGCTCTCTGGAATGCTGCTCTAGGACCTGAGCTCTGTGGCTTTTCCACTGGACAACCAAGCTGAGGAAGGCTGCCTCTGTGCTGGCTTCACACTGTTCAGCAGCACTACCTCATAAGTTGCTGGAGAGTTATCCTGGTTTACAACTAATGGAGGCTCATTGGGTGGAAGGCAGGGAGACTAACACTAGGGTGGAATCTACACACATATAAAAGCCATGCTAAAAATGCTTTTTTTAAAAAATGCATTGAATTTTCCATAAGGCTCACCATCGCCATCTAGTGTCACATTGCCTATTGCACTTAAAACACACTGAAAAGGTTTTATTTGCAGCTGTATAGCTGAGTCCCAGATGAGATGCGGGTGGCTCTGTGGCCTAAACCACAGAGCCTAGGACTTGCTGATCAGAAGGTCGGCGGTTCGAATCCCCGCGAAGGGGTGAGCTCCCGTTGCTCGGTCCCTGCTCCTGCCAACCTAGCAGTTCGAAAGCACATCAAAGTGCAAGTAGGTAAATGGGAAGGTAAATGGCGTTTCTGTGCGCTGCTCTGGTTCGCCAGAAGTGGCTTAGTCATGCTGGCCACATGACCCAGAAGCTGTACGCCAGCTCCCTCTGCCAATAAAGTGAGATGAGCGCCGCAACCCCAGAGTCGGCCACGACTGGACCTAATGGTCAGGGGTCCCTGAACCTTTACTAGCTGAGTCCCTAGGTGGAACTAGAACCAGAGCTAACTAAAGTGGCATTCAAACACCCGTTCCCTATGCACACACTGCATTTCCAGTGCTATTTTGTAATCTGTGTTCACATAATGGTATTCAAGATGCATTTGTAGCTGTACTTTGTTATAAAATACTACAGATGAATACACACACTGGAGTCTTTAAGCAGTTCCTAACTGATCTCTAGCCAAGGTTTGAAAGCTTCCAGAAGTAGCTGTAGTTGTCTAACTGGCCACAAGCCTTATGCAACCAGGACAAATGTTCAATAAGTGATCGAAGACCGCTGCCAAAAGTAAGAGAAACTTAAGAGATGAATATCACCCCCCCCAAAAAAAGAGCAAGACATGGAGTAGTTTTGCCAGCAGTTTTTGCACAGAGTTCTGTGAGTCACAGGAAAAGAGGAGCCAGCCTTTATAAAAAGAAAACTTGCCTACTGGCCTGCAGTGAATTATTGATAGGGCAAAGTCACACTTGTCTATGAAGGAGGAGTGAAATGAAACCTCCACAAGGCCACATGTGTAATGTGGTCCAAAGTTTAGCAAGCACATGCAGCTGCTGGTCTCTTATGCTCAGTTGAGCTCATGTTTGCCAACTTTGAAACCAAAGGAGGAGGTCCCTCAATAAAACATGCAAAATAAGCCACAAACAAATGAATAACAGATTAGTAATGAAATACATATATATATATAAGGTACAATAATAGAATACACAACTATGTCTCACTGGAATAAATTTTATAGTAAGGGGGGGAAAGCATCTGCCACTGGAATATAAAATTGTGCAACTGAACAAGTTTGTTTATTTCTATTCTGCACAAGTCTGATTTTGCTAGTCAGGGGGTGGGACAAAAGGCCCATAAGTGTAGAGCAGCCTTCCCCAACTTGGTGTCCTCCAGGTGGTTTGGACTACAACCCCTGTGCTGGCCAGGGCTGACTGGTGTTGCAGTCCAAAACAAATGGAATTGGGAAAGGCTAGAGTGGACAATGTGAACTAGGTAGACTGGTAGTTCTGACTTGGCTTCCTATGTCCCTATAATAGAAATGCAGAAATGACACAACTAATTTAAGTATTCTTTTGCAGATTGTGAAGCAGTGAGAGCAGCCAGAGGAACAGTCAGCAGGGACTGGGCGAGACACCCAAAATAGTTATCTGTTGATACAATTGCCTCTCCGTTCTGCATACTGGACCAACGTTACTGAAACTTGCCGAGAGAATCAGCTATGCTTCCTATGAACTGAATCTCAGAGGCTGGGACTTCATGTTCAATGTACATGTGCTCAACCCCAAAGTTGAGGCTTTCCTCCTTTTGCTCACGGGTGGCGCTGTGGGTTAAACCACAGAGCCTAGGACTTGCCGATCAGAAGGTCGGCGGTTCGAATCCCCGCGACGGGGTGAGCTCCCGTTGCTCGGTCCCAGCTCCTGCCAACCTAGCAGTTCGAAAGCACATCAAAGTGCAAGTAGATAAATAGGTACCACTCCAGCGGGAAGGTAAATGGCGTTTCCGTGCGCTGCTCTGGTTCGCCAGAAGTGGCTTAGTCATGCTAGTCACATGACCCGGAAGCTGTACACCAGCTCCCTCGGCCAATAAAGCGAGATGAGCGCCGCAACCCCAGAGTCAGCCACGACTGGACCTAATGGTCAGGGGTCCCTTTACCTTTAAGTACAGCAAAACAGAGCACTGTCGTCTTGCAAACTATGGGTGACACTATTAAAATGAGGGGGAGCAGCCGGCCCCCACCTGCCTGCCTTGGTACTTACAACCAGTCCAGGGGTTTTCAGGCCTTGGCTTTCAGCTTCCTCCTTAGTCTCAGTGTTGCCTTTGTAAAACTCATCAGGGAAAAGGGGATAAAGCAAAATTAGTTGGCTCTGCCTGCCACTGACCCCGGCTCCCTCATCTGTTGGTCTCCCTGCTTTTCACCCCACCAGCCCGGATGGGCACCAGCCATCACTGCTTGGAAGTAGACAGCTGGGCAGGTAGTTTTTCCTCGGAAAAGTCATATGGGTTTCCTCTTAGTCCAACCCACTGATCAGCACAGGAATCTTACAATTACAGCACCGGGCAAGTGGCTGTCCAACTTCTGCTCAAATGTTTCCAGTGAAGGGCAGCCCATCACTTCCCAAAAGGCACAGGCATAGGACTGTTCCACTTTCAACCAACCCTCAAGGTTGGGATGTTTCTCCTCAAGTTTAACTACAACCTGCTTTCCCTGGCCATTTCCACCCATTGGTTCTAGCCCAGCTCTCCAGAGAAGCAGCCCGCTCCATTGTTTGCGTGAGAAAAGCCCTCCAGATATTTAAAGGCTGCTACCATGTCTCCCTCTTAATCCCCTCTCCTCCAGGCTAAACATACTCAGCTCTTTCAACCGTTCCATATAGTTTTATTTCCATAATGGCATTCCAGAAAAATGCTGTAACTGCAGAGCACACACACAAACCCTAGAACACTGCCAAATACAGTTCATAAATCTTCTCTTGTTAATGACAAAAGCATCGCTCTCTTGGAATGATGTTGCCTGGCCAAGCAGCTGCTAGACATATATAGAGAGTGTGTGTAACACACACACACACACACACA